TTTTTTTTTTAAGGCTCACGGGCCGATCCCGCTCGAGCCGACGCCCCAAAATGGGGCTCGGCCCCAACTAGCCACAAGCTGGCCCGGCTCGGACTTTTTCTGGGCCGAGCGAGCTATTTTGCCATCTCTAGATCTGCACAGCATAAAGGTTTAATATGAAAATAGCAAAAAGACACCTTCAACAGGTTGGTAATATATTTTTTATTGCTAATAAATAATAAAACGAGCTTAACGGTGAAAGGATTTTTAATTTGGTACCAGACAAACTGTAGCATAACGATCTTGCCAATCAGTTGAATTCTCGACAGCCTGGAATATTTCTTTGGCCCTGACCCAATAGTCACTCTTGAGATTCAAGTCACCAAGCATTAATAAAGCATCTGGGCATTTCTCATCCACCTTGAGAGCATCACAAATCTATGAACAAAAACATCTTTGCTTGAACAAAAGCATAAAATCATAAAAATGTACGAGAAAATGAAGAACAATATTAGTAAGATTTTTGAAGGGATATAACGACCAGTTCCAAACTTAGTTGAATATTATTTTGTGCTCTCGCAATGGCAGCAAGCCTCAGGTAAGCATCTGTGTAGTCCGGATACTGAAAATAAGGGCAAAAGTCAGGAGATATTACAAGGAGAAAAACATACCACCCAAACAAATTCAGAATCATGTCCAGGAGAGTACACAGAGAATTATATCCATCAATCAGGGGGTAGAACATCAAAATTCAAACTGATAATAGAATAATTATAATGTAGTAACTGATATGTCAGTTCTGCAGTATGATTTACCTATTGGAATGAAAGCATGAATGCCTCTTCATGGCATGTAAACAAAAGAACTTGTAGGAAAACTAAGCAATGCACACTTAGCTATAGACAAAGACCAAGCTCTAAACTATCTTATTTACCTTCACTGTTATCAACATTTTGCCAATAATATTTATGAACAATAGAAATGACTGGAGCAAAAGTGTATACCTTATATAATATTAGACGGTATAAAATGCTAGCTGCTTCACTGTCATGCATCTTCTCCAATACTCTGGCTAAATTAAATATGGGAGAAACTTTCTCCCAAGGGAGTTCCACAGATGTACCCTGTTCCTCTAATCGATGAAATAATTGCAAGTCCTTGTGTTGACGAAGAGATGAGCTGGCATCAGTTGGATATTGTGCTCTGTAAAGTAAATTGGATTGTACCACAATGTTCAAACTGGATTGTGCTTTAGCATCAAAAAATTTACTCCAAATGCCATCTCCCAGAGCCTCCATAAACATTTCACGAGCAAGCTGGAAATTGCATGAGAAATTATGGTTACTCTTGATAACGATTCAAACTTACCAGCGTCGAATTGTATTAAACTCAAATGGTATCTTAAAGACATTTACAAACCTCAAAATGGAGAACCCCAATATTGTTGAGCAGCTCTAATGGTACTTCCTCATTTCCCCTTTTCAGAAGATTATGAGCCTGTCCAAATCAACAAAATTTCATAAATAAATGAAAGATCCTAATGTGTTTTCTGATATTGAGCTGGAAATAAGGCAAGAGATACTCTTAAAAAGCAGAAACTTCAGCATTTCTTTGATAATGTATATGGAAAACATATAAAGATTCTCCAATTACTTTGAATTTTGCTAGGATATAAGTTTCAAACAGCAAGTCATTAAAATTTTCAATAGTTTCAGGTTTCTTCTTACAAAAGTAACAACATAATCACCAGCATTAAGTAACAATATAGTGTAAGAATAAATAAACTGAACCCGGGGCATAAGCAAAAAGAGTTACTCAAAATGCCAGAAATTTTACTTATTGGGAATTGACCAAAATACATTAAGAGTTGGAAGGTCCTTACGGTTTTAAAAGCATCCAAAGCAGCACATTCGTCTGTTGGAATTAGCAGCTCTCCTAGATCCAGAAATATCTGCAGGTGTAAGGTAAAATCATCAAATCAAAATTCTTCTTCTGAAACACATGAAAAATATCCTGGTTGAATTGAAGATATAAGATAACAAAAAAGGTAAACTTTCCATGTCCATAGTGACCATTTATTGTTTGCTCTCCATTTTTGGGTTGGAAAACTATTTTATGATTGAAATTTGGAAATTAAAGATTTTCTTGTTAAATCTCAACTGGTCTAGTCCTATCGGTATCCAACTTAAATTATTTTATGTACCAATCCTGGTCTAGTTAATGTTACAGAGAGATACTCATTGTCATTTTCGTTTCAAATACAATTTCTTAATTAAGACAAAATTAAAGAACATGCTACTCAATATAGTTAGAAGTAGTAAAGCTAAACACTGACACTCTAATAAATGAAATTTAGAGTATTCTCATTTCTAAAGGTTGGGCATTCTTCAAACTAGTATACAAACACTTTGTAACTTCTGATATTATAATCGTAGAGTACTATTTTATGAAGCAAGTTCTTGTAAAATTTAACAAAATCATCAAATATTAATAAATTATAAAATATTAATTAAATGAGTATTAACTGTACAAATAGCAGCAACAGGCTTGGTAAAAATGACTGATCTAGAAAAAAAGTATATGCGGTAATTTGACATAGATGAATGCTTAATAAACAAAAGAACAATAAAAACAGAAACAAACTAAGTATTACACATAAATGCATCTTTTAGAAATTACAATAAATAACTAAATGCAAACACGAAAAACATCTAAGCTCATTTTTATTTGAAATTGAAAGAAAATCCTATTGAAATGAAGAACACAGTTCAAGAATAGCCGTTTCATATCATGAAGAAACCAATGTTTTCCTAGAAGGTGAGGTTCAATAACTTGACAAAATCATAAATTTCTATCCTACGACAATTCTAAAAACATCACTATCACCTCATACTTTGGTCCGATATTCATATTAGTGAGAAACTGGGCTCAACTTGATTGCGTACTTATTTCCCCTAAAAATAGCACTTTTTATATGGTGTACCTACAATATAAGTTATAATATTATTATCAAACTGGAGAACAGACCTAATAGTTACCTTGGGATCTTGAGGATCGATTTTGGTAGCTTTCTTCAGAAGTTGTTGGGCCCTTTCCTTTTTCTCAAGTTGAATATATACGTGTCCGAGAGCCTAAGTGAAGGAAATGAACTTCTATTTTTTTGAGTACAAATAAATACACCAGATTACGTTCTTGAAATTATTACTTGCTAACCTTCAATGTCTCACAATTTTCAGGCTGCACCTCCAAGACTTTTTCGAAATTTGATGAGGCATTTCTCAGATCTCCCAATTTCATTTGAACTTGCCCCAAACCTGTTTCAAGCAAGCACATATTCAATGCAATGGTGCTGACTGAGAGAAATTAAAAAATTATACAGTTTCCACAAGAATGCTCCATAACGTCGTGCTTATTTTGATAACAGCTCAAACTCTTTTAATGATCTATTTTATGGTGACGTAAGTGAGGCAGGAACGACCTATGCCAAGAAGTTACTTAAATTACTAGGTTGGCGATAGTGTTGTCTACACTCACATATGGAAAAATATTTTCAGAGAAATTAATGTACTAATCATTATGATTTTTAACAGAGGATAGGACGCAGAATCCTGAGGGGTGACTCCTTTAAGGCCATTTTCTTGAAGTACAGTTTGGAGGCATTGCAAATATTACTTAATAGATCAATTTCAATTTCTATTACAACCGTAGAATGCAAGACTCAGAGTGGGAATACAATGTACTATCCACACGTGGTAAAAAAATAGAAGTTACGTAACATTTACTCAAATATCTAGGGCCATAAAATTAATATCTATCATTGTGTTTTGTAAGGTACAAAAGCTACAAATTATAATGTGTTAACAACGATTTTCCTCTGCCTTCCTTTTGTTCGAGTTCACATTAAGCTATAAGTTTAAGCTAGAAACCACGAATAAGAGTTTGTCCAACGATGACTATTGTTGCATGTACATGAGGGATAACGTGCACAACTACACCAATATAAAGCTGCAGAACCACCAATTTAATTGGTTCATTTAGCATTAAATGGAAAAGACCATAAGTTGTTATTGTGACCAATTTGAAAGGCCGTAATTCATTCTAATCGTTTTAGCCATTTTTATTCATCCCATGCTTGTCTAAGAAGAAGCACTAACAAACATGTTTTTAATTGGTTTTTCAATTAAATAAAGTTGGTGCTTTTGATAAATGAGAAACTACATATTGTTATCTTACTTACAAATTCAAATATTTGATTTGATTTGATTTAGTCGGACCTTTAGAAAGATATCTCAGATGGAACAGAATGGGAAGAAAATTCCCACGAGGCTTAGCATGTGATTTTTTGTATTTATTTGTGGATCATCCAAGCAATAGGCAAAATATAATTAGATATCAATAGTCATATAGTTATTTACTTATTTATATGAAGGATTGAATTATTATCTCTACAAATCTAACAACTACAAATTACATTACTGCCATAAAATAGTAAGTAAAATTTATAATAGCACAGCTTTGTTGCAGATAATTTAATTATACAGTAGTTTTACTAAATCTAGTTAAATTATTGAACTTGGTGGAATAGATGACCCAACAGCTGAACCACTGAATATTGACCTTCTCCTACGTCTATGCCATGTTTTTCTGCTTGCATTTGGGACCGACAGATGATAACAACTAGGGAAAAGCTAAAGGAATTCTACGCACCATAATAAGGCAATACAAATTCAGAAGGCTTGTTGCTTTCTTTGACAGACGCCATATAATACCTTCCAGCATTTTCATAGTCCCCCTGAAATCATGCGAAAAGTTAGATCTATTATCAGATCAGATTAAGGCCAAAATTGCATAAATATAAGCGTAATCATTTATCAAGTTGACTTAGTCCATCACCGGCAGCCAGGGTCATCCTTGAGACTTTGGGTGCCCTGTGTGACATTTTAAAATGATGCCTCTTTTAATATTATTTAATTGCAAAATAACGACGTTTAAATTTTTGTTTATTTTTTACATGTCGTGAATAAGGGATCTGGGGGGTTAAGCTTTTTTCTCATCACTTTAATTATTTGGATTTTGGCTATTTATTATTTTGTTGGTTGGTAATAGATTCATGAAGTTTGTTGGACATTTGGGATTGGACTGATAAAAAGTTAATTTAAAATATTTTTTTTAAGTTTGTTAGAAAAAATAATTCTTCTTTCAATAATATGTTAAACTAAAAACATATTAACATAATATAATTATTTTTACTCTTTTTTCATAAATATTATGTCCATTAACTTAACATAATAATAAAAAATTTAAATAAAAAAATTTAAATATATAATTATACACATATATACACATATAACAATTTTTTTTTGTGCTCCTACAATGTTGAGGTCCTGTGGGGTCGCTCAACTCACACACCCCTAGGGCCTTCTTTGCCGGCAACTGAAGAACCCAATAATCAACAAAAATAGACGAAATATGAGAAAACCGTTGAGGTTTTTATTAAATACGTGAGAAGCGGCCAATATTTTTGACCACCCAAAAAGCTGAAAAAATAGCACAGATGATCTAGATGCAAAAATGTATGATTGATATCAACCTTGGTATGGTAAGATCGGGCTAAATTGTAGAATGAATGTGACTTTGTTGGGCCATTAGTCGTCGCAGAAAGTGCGGTTTCAGTCAGTTGCTCAACTAGGAAATGCTGACCAGTGAAGAAGAAATGATTGGCCAGATGATTCAGTGACGTAGCGCAGTATGGATATATCTCGAAAGCTCTCTGCATTTTTTCCATTCCACTCCTAATGCCATTAGCTGTAAAGATATTTGGCATAATATAGAAAATAAGATTTTAAAAATCTGTAATTAAAATAAATTCCAAAGACTCGTTATATTTAAAATGATCATCACACATTTAGACCATATAAATCACAAAGAAAAGTGGAAACCAAGAATTTTTGTCTGAGAATCATCATTGAATAAAGCCCTATCATGTCCTCCATAACTCATACCTAAATATACACTCAAAGTATCTATATATTTATAGCAGTCATGTTCTTTTTCTTTTTGGGGTAACAAAAACTAGCCTTCATTAGTTTGCAAATCTGAAATTCCAAGTGCTACAAGAGCCTCGACATTTTCTGGATCTAACTGCAGTTATAAATTGTCAATCAAAAGCCCTGTCAGCACTATATTGAGCAAAACGTGCAGCTGTTATTTACAATAGCCTAATTAATGCAAAATCCAGTGGTCAGCAGTGACTTGCCTGTAAAACTCGATGAAATGCTTGTTTAGCCTTTTCAAGACGACCCAATTTGTATTGACAAAGAGCTATCCCAAGTCTTACTGCTGCAGGACACTGAGGATACACTTGCAAGGCCCTCTAACCAAAATATAATTACAAGAAACAGAAGCATAAAAACAGGATCATGATTTAAGGTAACAGCGTAGAAAACCATAAATTTTTCATGAGTGGAAACGCTCCACCTTCTCCAGCACCCTCAAAACCAGAGACTGGAAACTTATGTTTATAAATGGGAATGAGCAAACCTTATGTAACTCCAACGAATCTGAATATTGACCACGATTGAAGTAGACACAGGCCTGCAGATAATTGGAAGATAGTAAAATGCTACAATAGTCAACTGATGCAATTCTTAACAAACTGGCCGACAGTGTTAAAAAGGACATAGCCTAAGACTTACATAGCCAATCCTGAAATGAAAGAAAAAAGATATCTGAAAAATTGAATCCATATTGGTCAAAAAGTCAAGCTTATTATGCTAAAGGATTGGGGTGTAAGGGGAAAGTGCAGGAAAGAATGGAGGATTAGAAAAGTCTTCTAGACTTATATTCCAATCCTCACAATATTAAGCATGGGTTGAAAGTTCCAAACATAAAAAAGCACCCCTAAATAATCAATATCCCTATTAAACTCCCTTCCTATTCCCTTTCTATGATATGAGAAAATGAAATCAAATAATCTTCACCAGAGCGACGGATATAAACCTCCCATGCGCCCCATCCGACAAGCTAACAGTGGCCTTATTTTCACACAAGCAAAAAGTAAAAATAAACAATAATAGAAATTTAATTTCATTGATAATGATAAGTCATTTTTTTTTTTTTTTGAAATAGAATAAATTGAACATACCTGACCAAGAAGAGCAGGAACATTATCATGATCTCCGTCCAATACAATCTTGAATGCATTAAATGCCTGTTCAATATCGCCTTTGGCCAGTAAAAGCTGACCTGTCAAAGAAAATATGTGGAAGCATTAATGCTAAACAAATCATAAGTTGGCACAGAGGAATACAACTTATGTATTTATGCAAAAGTGAAACAAGAAGACAATTGTTTCCTAAGAAGTAATTAAGAAGACAACATAATGAGCAAAAGAAGCTGCTAATGGGCTTAACTAAACCCAGCCTGATCTTTTTTATATACAATTGATATACTTTTAACCATCCTTGACAATAGTTATAATTAGTAGGACTGTAGTCATGAATTTTTCCTCCACCTTCATAGAATTCTACCTCATGTAGAAGTATTAATGAAGCAATCAGTATTAGGCGTAATTAATTTTCACGAAGGTCAACAAAATGCTAGGTCGAGCTCAACTCATTTCTCTTGCTAATGTTCATATCATTAGATCGTAAGTGTAGGACTCAAGTACCATGATAAAGTAAGAGAAGTCCAAAATATGCAATCAAACCGACAATTTTATCCCTAAGATGTAAACTTAATGGTATTAAAACTTTTTAATGAAAATAAAGTAATTTTAACTTAGGATGGTAAGGACCCATCATTTTTGGAATTGCTTAATCCAGCTCACGATGTAAAGATCAAGTTTTCAAATTGTGGAGAATTTGGTGAGGTCTCAATGATTTTTAAACCATAAGAGTGTTTTTAACAGTGTCTTCAAAATGCTCTTTATTTTTTAAATATCATCTTAGTTAAAAGAACATCTTTAAATTTAGAGAATACAATATTTTATATACCTAACAAAGTCTTTATTTATTTATTGTTTTCTTTTGGAACCTAATCTCGTGTTTTGTCTCTTTAAAATGAAAAAATATCTCACCTTTAAAGAGTCTCTACTAGAGATGAATGTTTGAAGTTATAAAAAAGTGTAATATATCATCATTTGCAAAAAGAAAAAAAAAAAATCTTTGGCTTTGTGCATCGTCTATAAAACCAAACTTGTGACAACCTCGAGTAGAATGTTGATAGTAGAATAAATGATATGCATGTCTCTATGATAGTCATCCTAAATCTAACTACCCAATTACTTAACATGCAGGAGCAAAGAGTTGTTTACCTTTCCCTATCCATGTTGAAGGCTCATGTGTGTCAATTTTTGATGCCTTGTTATAGTATTGTGAAGCCGTAATGAAATGCTCTTCCTTTTCTCTTTGTTTTGTCTCTATTTTTCCTAGATAGCTATAATACGTTCCCAAAGCATTTAGAATGGCAATCCTCTCATATCTCAGCTCTGCAAAGTGTTTATCAATTTCTGCAGAACAATAACCTTTGTCAAAATTCCTTTTTATCATGTGAAAGAAATGTAAATAAGTCAACATTAATAGAATAATATATACCTGGACTAGACCCTTCTTCCAATATTTGTCGAAACTGTTCGAGATTTCCTTGTTTGAAATACTCCCTCTTCGCTCAAAATAAATCCGTAAAAAATGGAAAAATGATACAATTCAATATGAACGTGTCAGCAACTCACATTTGTACTAACTGCATAACCAACACTTACACTTGGCAAAGAAATAAAAATACAAGAGCAACATTTAGCATCTCGAGTCATTTTGCATATCACATGGCAATTCTCTCATAAGATAAGATAGAGGTTTTAAACCGCAATCACAAATTCGCTGAATTCCAACATGTAAGGAAATTACTTAAAAGCACAAGCATGCACACGTCTCTTTTTTTCCCTACTCTTTCCTCAAAATAAATGCGTCGTTATTTCTCAAAAATCAGAATAATTAGAAACTCAAATACTGATTCTCCTGGAAACTCGTTAAGTAATGAAATGCACCAGTTTTCAATTCAAAATCTAAGCCAACTTGATATGCGTGGTGTGAAGAATATTTTTCTCACCCAATTATATATACATGTGAGTCACGATACATGCACATATATACACATAATATTTCCATGTAAACTCATTTAAACCATCAAGGAAACATAAAAATCAATTCAAAAAACTGACTTCATTCGCACTAAACTATATTTGTAACCCCAAAAAGCATTAATTTGCAAAATAAAAATGGCTTTTTTTTGACAAAATAAAAAATGAAAAATGTTTATTGAAACATTTTCTTTCATACTATTGCATTTACAGAGAAAAATAGAGAAGGAAAATAGGCGGGAAAACTTTCTATTGAGCTGAGAGAGAAAAACTTGCCACTTAGGTTCAATACAATCACATATATAAATAATTGGTCCAACTAATTGACAGCTGGA